CTTTGTACAAAAATATTTGCTCCTTTGTACAAAAACATGGGTGTTTTCCATCCTCTAATTCATTAAATCTTGACCTGAAAGAATAGGTGGGTATACCATTGCAGCTGTAAATTTGTACTTTCTGAAAGTCTTTCACTAGGATAGCACTGCAAAAAAGGGAAAACAGGATGCCTAGATACTTTTAATTTTTGAAGGTACAGTCAGTTCACTTATTTATTGCACTTAAGAAAAGCAAGAATGAGTGCTTTGGTCCAGTGTACAGCAGGAAGTGCTCACGTGTGCTGTTGGTACACATACCTCTCATATCACTGCAGCTTTATCTATCTTCCACATTTTAGTAGGTACCATCTTTTAAGGGGGGGAATACTGTTGGAAGCAATCATGCTTTGGTGGTTTCTGGGCTCCTCTTGCTGAATCCAGTTAGCCTGAATGAAGGATATGGAGTGGCAGCATTGCTGGGTGAACGCTGCTGTTACTGAGAGCAGAAGAGTGATTCTGTCTGTTGATGTGCCTTTGGTCACTGAGCACCGTGAGAGCATTCTGAGTATTTGTGTGTGTAGTTCAGATGGCAAGTAGCCTAAAGACTGCTTGTGCACAAGTGACTCAGCACATCAGTGCCATCTGCATTGGAACACATTACCTCTGATTTTAAGCCTGAAAGTTCCTTCCAGTATTAAGGCCCAGGAAACTCATTAGCCATCTGACCTGGGACAAATCTGCCTTTTGTTTCTCATTACAATCCTGTTTTTTCTTTGTGAAATTCCTTGGAACTGGTATTATCACACAGGACAGACTTCTGCACAGTGTGGTGTAATAGAATGAATGTTTCTTTATCCTTTGCCAAATCCTGAAGGTGGTGCTTAGGCAGATTTCCCTATACCTCGTTAAAAATAAGCCTGCTAAAGGAATGGATGAGGAAGGAATTGAAAGGATATGTTTTGGTGTGGAGGTGGGTTTTTCTGTTTGGTTTTGTTTTGTTGTTGTTTTCTGAAAAACGTCAGGGAGCAGATTCTTGTATTTTGAAGAATTTCAGAGAAGTTTCTTCATGACAGAAGGCCTTCTGACCAGCTGCATCTTATCAACTGCAAAGCAGCTGGATAGCTTCTGAGGTTCATGTTATGCTGAGCAATGTGTTCATGGCAAATTGATCTACTGGGGTTATTTAATCTGGCTGAGTCAGCCATCTTTATAGATGCAATATGCTGAGCACAGCTTGCAGCTCTCTCCTTCAGCTGTGTGTGTTTGCAAGGCTTTGTCCCCAGCAGAAATAGCACTTTTGCTGGGAGCTGTTTTGCTGCAGGACCAAACATCTTGCAGGACTGGTGATGTTTACTAGATATGCTTCCTAAAGAATAAGCATAGGCCGGAATTTTAGAGGGTAAGAATTGCAGAAGAAGCATGGCCCATAAACGGAAGCTTTGTATGTGATTGAGGTCTCAGGATGCAATAAGCATTAAAAGAAACTAGGGATGACTTTTTTTCACTCAGAAGGTGGTGAGGTACTGGAACAGGCTGCCTGGAGAAGCTCTGGGTGCCTCTGGTCCTGATCATCCTGATTGAATGGGTGGCCCGTAGCAGGGGGATTGGAACTGAATGGTCTTTAGGTCCCTTCCAATTCAAGCCATTCTATGATTCTATGATGTTCGGTGTCAGAATTCATGCAGTTAGTACTTGCCTATGTGAAAACATGTCTGCAGCATGTTTCTTGCTTTCAACAGAGAAGGGATCTTTCTGTCTGAGAACCAGTGGAATTAGGGGGATAGGGGATAATTTAAAAAAAAATCCTGTTTGAAATCATACTTTGGGACACTCCTCACTTTGCCCTCACTTTCTAGAGCATTTCTGAGCAAACTGAGTACTTCTCCCCCATTTCTGCTGCTGCTTTCAGTAACTCAGGAAGCTAGCACTCTCTTTCCTGGCAAGGGAGGGATGTAGGACTGACTCAGTTTCTGTGCAGGATGCTGAGAATGAAGATGCTCTGTCGATGATCATTAGTAATGTAAGGCTGTCCTCTGGCAAAGCCATTGGCACTGAGTCTGCTAGGAGTGAATCATCACTGTATTGCCAGGCAGAGCTCCCGTTCCCTTCTTCCCTCCCCACCATCATGTGCTCCTCACCAAATTTTCCACTGTTTACTTAGAAATCCGTGAAAGAAAAGACTGAGGCTGAAGAAGCTCCACCTGGGGAAGTCAAGGTGAAGGAAACCCCTGCTGCTGCTGCTGTGGGAAAGGAGGCCATCCCTGCTGAGCCAGATGAGCCAACAGAGCAGGCTGCGGTGAGTGATCTGTCCCCCATGTCCATCTCCCAGCCTCATCTGGGCCATCTCTCATCACAGTGAGTGTGCCTGCTGTATTTCAGCCATCCCCTCTGTTCCTCATCATGGCTGGTTTTGTCAGCGTCCAGCTGTGTCACAGCATGCCTCTCCAGCAACATTTGCTCCTGTTGGTCCCAAAATGTCATTCCTTTTAAGACTGGCATTTTAGCTGGAAGTTCACCTGCATGGTCTTACAGGCAGTCAGAGGTCAGTGCAGAGCATCAACAAAAGGTTTTCAGGTATGCAGATACTCTAGCCTTGCATGGATCTTTCTGTGGAGCTGATTGTGTTTCACATTCCTGCTGGGGGCAATGGCTCAGGCACTGCAAGCCTGATTGTGACATTTATTAACATAGGGGAACAGCGTTAGGAAAGCGTACAAACAGAAGTGAAGAGTGGCTTGGAAATGGTCTGAAGCTCTACTCAACCAGTGTCAGGTTGGTTGTGTGCTGGTGGTGTTGGACCACTGCGGAAGCCACTCATGATACCACGCAAACTGTCTGCAGCAGAAAGCTCTGGAGTACAGCTGTAGTTTAAAGGACTTCTCAAGGACAGAGAGATGATTTTGCCTGGATAGTTGCAACTGCGTCACTGGATTTAAAAACTGGTATCAAATGTGCATGAAATGAAAAGGCAGGCTGAGCTTTAGTTGCAGCACGTGCCTGGTTATCATCTCTCCCTTGCTCCTATCTTCCTAGCAGGGTAAAAAGAATTTGTTGTAGATGGAAATGGGGACAGTTTTCTGCGTGCTGTTCTGGAGAACTTTGAGAGAGAGGGAGGATGATCCTTGTCTAATCCTTCCTATTTGCTCTGGATTCCTACCTGTGAGAGCAGCATCGTAACGGTAGAGGAAAGCAATGCCAATGTGTTCCCTAGAATTATGAATTGGACTTGATTCTAATTAAATCATGAATATTGAGTGTGTTTAATTTTAATCTACTCCTTGTTCATGTCTATAGCAAACCCTAGAGCGAGTGACCTCAGCATCATCTTCTTATAATAACAGACACAAAGAAAGGCCCCATGGTCTGCAGAGATCAGGCTTTTCCCCGTGCCTGTTTTCTTTTGAGTTGATCTAAATCACTGTAATAACTTGTCCACTCTATAGCAAAGCAAATAGTGAAACTGCCTATCTGAAGCACGTTGTTCCAGCAGACTGTTGTTGAAAATCCTCCATGGCTAGGCAGAGTAAATTTGATGGTTTGGAATAAAGAAGAAAGAAAGGATGGTGAGTAGAGGAAGGATGGGACATCAGTCGTTGGTCAGGAGGTCTCTTCTGGTACTCACTCTACTGAGTGGCAGTAAGTAAAGTGAAGAACAGGTATCAGAGAAGCTTTAAAGGCTGTTACTGTATGGTTTGAGTTTGTTTTTTTCTGTAAGGATTTCAGGAAGGAAAGAAAAATTGTGACGGAAATATTTTTTTCTAAAAGGAAGCCAACTGCTTTTCTTGTACGAAGACAAAGCTCCAAAATCTTCGTTATCTGAGTGCTAATTAGATGGCAGGCTGGGGTGCAGCACCACTCATCCGTTCACTGGCCCTGTCCTGTGACCTGTTTCGCTGCCTCACCATCACTGAGGCATTCTCAGTCCGTGTTCTTTCATGCTCCAAATGGCTGCAGAGCTGTTGGAGAGGAAGACAGAGATGGGCAAGTGAGTGGCAATCCAGGAGGAAGTCATAGGTATTAAATAGAAGTCAGACAGTCCTGACTGGGTTTATTTTCATTTTCTGTTACCTTTAGAATACAAAGTTGTCTTTACCAATTTGGAAGAGATGTCTAGGAAAATGAGCTCCGTGTTGATGTCTTAAAAATTCAGAAGTAGAATTATTCATTTGGCTCTGAGGGGCAATGATTCCAGGAATTGCTTTCCAGGACTTGCAAAGGAGAGTCTTGAACATCAGGATTAACAGCAGCTGTGATCAAAGCTGAGGACATTTCACTGAGATGCAGAATATGAAAGCATGTCATTTCTCAGCAGCAGCTCAGCGTTCATTCACTTTGAGTGATGAGTTATTGAAAAGTGGAGTGGTAAAATATTAATAATATCTTTCTGATAAGAATCTTTTATTGATTTTAGTAATTGCAAGTTTGTGGTGACAGCCCCTCATCAGCACAATTTCTCTGTGATGAATTTACTGCCAAGCCACGTTAATTGGTAGAATGTATGGCAGTCATTAGTTGTTGCAGGAGCTTTGAGTAAATTTTCTGGTAGGGCTCTCATTTAAACTAGGAGGGGTAGTGCAGAGAACAGGGTGCAATTCCCTGCTCAGGAGTTTTGGGTTCTGTTACTTACAGTTTCATAATCAGCCTGAAGTGCATTGCCAAACACTTCATTCCCAGAGCTCATCTTAATTGCTGCATGGGATCTTACTACATGTCCTTGTTGTGATCCATCGGTGCCACAGAACAAATAAATTTCTGTTAGGTGCTGGCAACCTTTGATTCTTATTTTGGTTGCAGGGAACAAAATTTTTCACAGTTAGAGGGACAGAATCACCACGTGCTGCAGAAGAGCTGAAGCGAATGGTAAGAAGTCCTTCTTGCGTGGACTTTTGCCCACAGAAACTGTTTTGTTTCTTCTTTCCATAGTATGTAAAATCCAAAGGATGCAGTCTAAAAGATACAGTTTATGAACCACTGATTGATTTCAGTTTCAAATAATAATATCCCTCTCACCACATCAACTTTTCAAAGTAAGGCAAAGATCACAAGTGTACAGGACAAAGAGAAATTGTAGCAAGTCTTGTTATTTTGTTGTCCTATCTGTGAAATGCTGCACACAGAGTTCACAGCATTACTCAGAGATCAGCTATTTTGACTTCGAGATGCTCCTTGGTTTGGAAAGAGCCTTTTTGTGCTTTGGGTCAGATGCTTGCCTGGACTTTAATATTCTCTCATTCCATCAGTCAGACACTCAGCTAAACACAGTGATTTTTCAAAGCTTTGTGTGGGCACATACGAAACTGCCAGCTGGAAGCTCTCTCAGACACTGAACACTGACAGAGGCCAAGAAAGAGCCTTCAGCTTAGAGATGTCTAATGATGGCTGAATCCCACCGTAGGTACAACTGGTGGCACCCAAACTGCAGACTGTATGATCTGGGAGAGCAGTGCAAAGAAGAGTGGTCAGCTGTGTCCGAAAGCTGAGCGTGGAGCCAAGTACAGATAGAGCACTGCAGTATGATGCCATTTAAAGGTAAAACATTTCTTTCAAAAATGGGGGAGAACTGATGTAGAACAGTGCTCTTCTGTTCTAAGTCAGCAGAGGCAGGTTGCATTCTGTTTATGGAACTGCAGCATTACTTAGGCACTGTTTCAGTAATCCTATTTACTAGACGTTTACGCCTAGCGTGCCATAAAAATAAACATTGCACTGCCGTGCTTCCCTGCTAAAACTCAGTCATCCTTACCATCCCGACTCCTAACTAATCAAAAGATCAGTGCTGCTAACTTTACCAGTACAAAATAGTCCTTAAGAAGTAAGGGCAACTCTCCTTACCTTTCTCTTTCCCAAAAAATCTGCTTCCAGTTATGCTTTAAACGAGCCCTCATTTAAAAGTAAATGTATGAATGCATCAAATTTTGAATGAGGCCCAAGCTGTAAGCTTGGTTGATGGAATTCTTATGGGAAAGCGTTTCCAGGTTACTGATAGGAGAAGGGTAGGGACAAACACATTCCTGACATAGAGCAGTGCTCGTTTCTGAAGGCAAATTGGCTTCTAAGTACAGCTTATTAAGAAATTCGGCACTTTTTAATAGTACAAGTCAGAAAAGTGTTTCTGTACCAACTTGCCATTGCCATCAGACGCATGGCTTTTATGAGGCAATGGAAATATTCGTTTACCTCTCCTGTTTTTAGGAAAAAAAAAAAAAAAAAGCAACATGCTGTAGCAAGCATGCATGCTTTGCTGGAGTAAGAAATAATTATATTTTGCAGTTGAAGCTTGTGGGATTTTTTTCTTTTTAAAACCTGCTACAGTCTGTTTTAAAATTAATGTAAAAATCAGATCTTTGCAGCATGGTTTGGCAGCTTGAAAGAAGAATTAATCCTGTATATATAAAAGAAAAGGTGATGTCACACTGCAGTTTTAGCAGGATAAAGCTGTGAGGGGTTTGCATGGTAACACTGCTGTCAGCAGCTGCCTTGCCCTGGCGTCTGGATGGGTCTGGGTCTTATGAGGTGACTGCAGGAAGATGAGCTTAGGAAACACATGAGTGAAGTGAAGTTTGGATATAACGCAGCATCCTTTTATTAAACAAGATAACATGCAAGCATTTCAGATGAAACGTGCAGGAGTTTTGGTGTGTCAGGTGTGTGGAGGCAGTGAGCTGGAGGCTGAGCACTGAGGTCTGATCACAAGTGCTGAAGATGGCGATCTGCTCTACCTGCACTCACACAGATCTGCATGACTTGTCTTCACCCTTACAGGGCTTTTGAAAAATCTGACATATGTATGTTTGCAGAGCAGCCTCAACATTTATTAGTGAAAGAGGTTTCTATAAGGGGGCTTAGATTTACTTTTCCTCTGAAAAGCATCTTTAGAAATATCCTGCAATCTGCAGGAAGCCAAAACTGAGCAGAAGAGAAAAGCGCTTCCAAGTGTTCCAAACGAGACATGAACTACAGCCATCTTGACTGTTTGTTGACCTAAACTGGACCTGAACCTCTTGATCCAGGCTGAGCAATAGCCAGAACTGAATCCAAGCTCAAGCAGAAGGGATGTTGCTGACTGAATCCCAAAATGCTACAGTGGAATTGGAAGCCAGCAGGAGCACAACTGTCCCACAGAGTTTAGGAAATTGTACGTTTTTTCCTCTTCCAAACCTGGAACTTGTGCAGTTTTACAGCTTCTGTAGGAAAGGACCTTGTGTTAGATCCCATCTGTGCTGTAAGAAATATTGTTTGGGGTGGAGAGCATCACTGTTCAGAGCAATTGATTCCTTGGACATCTTCATGGGTGCCAGATTGAGAGCCACTGACACATGTCTGCTGTTTTAAATGTCAGGCACCACTGCATGTACAGCTGAGTGTGGACCTGGAGGAAAGTGATTCTGCACAAACTGATGAGCTTTGTGACCCACCTCTTTGAACAATCCCCTGCCGTGTGTTTCAGCCCAACGTATGTGGAAGAAGTGTTCCAGGAAGTTTTCCTGCAAACTGGTGAGTTACAGGGGCAGCAGCAGGTTATGATGGGAACATTCTGAGTCTTGGGTGGGAGAAATTGGAGGTAGCTGGAAAACTGTAAGGTCAGCAATGTTCTGGGCTGTTGCTTAATAAAAACATTCATCCAGTATGGTGCTACTATGGAAATACTGATAGCAAAAGTACATAAAATTGACATTAGCACTTCCAGTGTGGTGATCATTATGTAATTAACAGGCTTTATTTCTCGTGGTTTTTTGCTGTGTTCTTGTTTTGTTATGTTTTTATCTTATAGCTACCTTTATTTCAGATATATAGCAGCAAGAATCTTTCCACTCCCTGTATGCTGTCCTGTTTAGTTCCCACCATTCATTTCATCATATCCCATACATGCCATTCTTCTACTGAGCTTGATTAATGCCAGTTTCTCTGCAGTCATTCCCTCAGCGTGAGTAAGATGGTGACCATATTTCCTCTTTATACAGGAGAGTATCGGAGCAGGGGATAAGGAGACAACTGGAATTGCTGAGAAAGAGAGCGAGGTACGTATGAGCAGCTTCAGGAATGTGGTTGTGCTTTAATATCTTCAAGAGGAGCGTGGCAAAAATATATGTATGTCATCTGCATGTAATCAGTGTGCAGAGAATACAATATGACTGTGACCCAGCTGTGGTACCAGAACATTTCTCATTCAATGCAAGACCTACCTTAGAAACTGCCTGTTGCAGCAGTACAGACTGATAAATATTTTGGGGCAGAAAACAATCAGATCCATGAACAGAAAGTGGCATAATGCTGTTTCTATTGACATTTGTGGTAAAGAGAGAATATGCTGCATAGATTCACAGTAGCTTTTACATTTCCCTTGAATTTGTTTGTCTAGCCTTCCTCTAAACAGCTTTAAAAAGGAAATGGAATTTTGATTCATCATTTGTTTTTCCTTGCACAGCTGAAAATAGTCATGCCAAAAGTTCATTTTCTAAAATACAAATGTGGCACTGAATTAGGTAAATTACAAAGCAACTGAAAAACTCAGGGACATACTTAATTTCTCTTTAGGTGGGCATGTTGAGGTAGATCAAACCCAGTTTCTATAGCTACAGGTGCTGATGCGCTGCAAATGAGAGTTGCACTGCTTGTCTAACATTGTCTTATCACTGCCAAGTCTGGGCCAAGAAATGCCTTGCTCTGCCCTGAGCACAAAGGCTAAGCCTTTGAAATGCATCTTTCCTCTGTTCCAAACTAGGTGCCCTTGTAAAGTAACTTCTATCTGGTCAGCTTAACCTGCTTAGAGGAGCAGTATTACTGAATGCAGAAGAGATGCTGTCAGGGATCAGGCTGTTTGCTAAGCTGATATCCTGGCTCCAGTGGAGGACTGTCCTTCTGAGGCAACTTTCATAACCAGTTCTGCAGTATTACTCAAAAAGCCTTCCAAGACTTTGCAAGCAGTTGGTGTGCTCACTAAAGCATGATAATTAGTTCTTGATCTTATATGAGACGGCTGAGCTGTAATTATGACTAACTGTCCTAAAAATTACCCAGTCCTTTTCTAAATCAAGCTGTGGAGCCAGATCTTCAGCTCTGGAAAATGGGGAGAGCACAGTGAGCTCCTCCCAGGCCCCCAGCTGCAGACTTGGCTGCTCTCCTCCTCTTCATGGCCTCATTCTTGCTGCTGCTGAATCTGGGCACTGCACTGAGCTGACAGTTCTATGAGAGGATAATGCAGCCAGCTGCAGCCTGGGTAAAGAAGCATTCACTGTTACTGCAACTCAAAGCCACGTGGCTCTGTTATCACAGCCTTCATTACATTGGATGGCCCTTGTTTTTTCTCCTGTGTGGCTGTGCAGATTTCAGTAACCCTTCTGCAGATAGCTGGTTTAGGATACTCTTAGTCTGTGTATTGTTATGGAAAACAGGTTTGTAGAGTTGGTTCTCAAAACGAAGTATATGGCCCATTGCAGCTAGGTGTGGGATTCTTGTTCTGATTTCAGTGGAATTGAGTCTCCCTCTTTTTAGTTTAGTTTTGTTTTTTTCTTTATCAAAGGCATTTGATACTAATAGTGAGATTCATTCAGCACTAGCACACATGCTTTTGTAAAAGCCATTTTTTAATTATCTATCTTGCTTTGGTTCTGTATTCTAAGGCACGGGAAATACCCAGTTCTGCATATGTGAACGTGCTGTGCATTCAGTGAGTTACAGCTACAGCTGTTGAGAGCATCACCCTTTCAGTGCTGACTGTTTGTGAGCTGACTCATGTCAATTAAAATTCTCCTCCACCGTAAAAGAAAATTGGCTATACAAATGCAGTAAATAGAAAATAAACGTTGATCCTAATCACAACAGGCAGCAGGATCAGTGTGTGCAGCATGCTGTTAGAAGCACATGTGATGAAATCAATCTGATAGGCATTCTGTTCCCCTCCTTTCATACTGGTCTCTTCCAAGGCTTTTACAACCACCATTTATTTGAATGCTAGCCTGGGTCAAGACTGCTAAATTGGTAATACTCTGTGAGACTGGTTTGCGTGCCTTGCAAGTCACAGGAGAAGATGTCAACATCTGTCCATATCTTTTGATAATACTTCTGTTTGTGCAGAGCATCCTTCCCTAGCAGAATTTTCAGTTGAAGCTAAAACTTCTCCAGTGGTTTCTGCAATGCACTGGAGTATTTCCTGCTTTCAAGGACTGCAGAAGAATTTGTTTACCACATCAATTAATGTCAGCCAGTAGGGGTAGATAGAGCTGAAAAACAATGACTGAGGAATGATTGTGAACGAATGCAGGCAGTTCAGGTTGAGCTCAGAGAGCTGCATTGGTCTCATTCATGGGTGGAAAATCAAACTGAGGAAACAGAGCATCAGGCTATGAACTGAATTTCTGCTGAACTTAGCTTGACGCTGGTACCTAGAAAACAGCTTTTCTTTAGTGTTAAAAACTTCCTGAAGCCAATTGAATTGACAGACTGTTTTTTTATTTACCTTCACCATCAAGACGAATCTCCAATAAACTTAATTCAAGTGTATTACTGTAAACAAATACCAGTGTGTACCAACACAAATGTTGGGGTGATACATAAATTACCTATGCTGGAGGAAGGATTTAACAATGGCCTTCAGGAAGGTACTTTTCTATCCACCTTTCAATAACTGAAATAAAATGCATGCTGACTTTTCAACACAGACTAATGACGAATGATTCAGTCATATAAAATCTACTTGGGTCTTTATTTATGTTTCTTTCTTTTTTAAAATCAGCCTAGCTATAGGCTAACATTTTCTGATACCTGATGACATCTGAATATTTCTAACCTTCATCTAGCTGTAGAGTATATTTGCTTCAGCTAACATAGCCCAAATTGTACATCTCTGTTCAAAAGGAGTCTAACTAATGCTCTTGAAGTCAGGTCAGGAGAAACCCCAGTGAAACCAAAGCCAGGGGCCGGCAGCGCCTAAGGAGATAGCAGAGTACAGGATATCTCCAGCTGATATGCACAGCTCATGTCCTGAAAGGTTTCTCCTTTTATCTTGCAGGTGGTGAGTGCTGCAGATGGGGCACTGGAGTGGAAGACAGCGTGGTGGTGGGAGCAGGAGCTGGTGAGGGTGCTGCTCCCACGGAACAGGAGGCTGCTGCTGGAGGTGACAAACCTCAGGGAGAAGAAAAGGAGATTGATGTTTCCCAGGTACCTCATGTTGTTGTGTGGGGAGCATTAGAGGAATCCAGCCAGATCCAGCAGCTCCAGCACAGGCGAGGCTGATGCAGCTCCATGCCCCAGGGTCCAACAAGCAGTGAGGATGAGCATGTATTCTCAGTCAGTGCACACACAGAGCACACAGACATATTTGTACACACACAGACAGCCATGGGAATCAAAGGCAGGCACACGGGGTACTCACACAAACACAAGCATTACCAGAGGCCTCATCGCATTCACCTCTGGCTGAGCAGGTAGAGCTCTACTAGTGAGAAGACATGTATTTGTATGTACATGCTGATGTCACTCAAGTCCACTCACCTGAGTGTCTCCAGTGGCTGGCACCTGGATCTCTCCTGCAGCTGGCAGATGGGCACACAGGCCCTCCAATCCACGGTCTGAGCCTAATGCACACACGAGCAAGAACAACAGACAGCCCTCACCCTGGAGAGGAGTTAGCAAGCAACTTGATGAGAAGATAAGACAGACCACACTCATCAGGTGCAGGACATGGCCAGATAACATCTGAACTCTCCATGCTTACGTGCAAGCAGCCCATTTCTGCTGTTACCTGTGCCTTTGTTGTCCCACACTTGTTTCTCCCCAGATCACCTCAACCCACCCACTGCTTTTGGTTTCTCCCTTAAACATCCCATAGTAAGTCTTGTACAGTAATATGTCCCATGGCTCTTGGCAACAACCTCCCTCAGTCCTGAAGGTGCTCTGCTGTGTGATTGATTTCACACCAGACACTGGGACAGCCCTGAAAGAGGTCCAGGTCACTTCTGCTTTTCACCTTGTGTTCCTCTAAGTTCTTAGAACTTTTACTTTTCTGCACAATTATTGTTCTCTATCTTGAGGTAAGAATCCCACCTGCAGCAGAAGTAAGGAAACATGTTTTTCAACTTGAAATAAAGCGGGAAATACTCTTGTGGTGCTTTTGTTGTATTTTATTTCTTTTCTAGGAAAAGGTCAGCAGCATCCCTTCAGTAGTAATGGAGCCAGCATCGAACAGCGCAGGGGAAGGAGAAGAACCTGATGTCATGATGAATGAGTCCGAAGATGCTGCAGCAGAGATGGGCACTCAGGCACTGACAGTGAAACTTGCCAAGTTGGAAGTGAGCAGGAACCAATTGAAGAAATGCAGACTGCACCTTCTCGAGATCAGCCTGCGTCAGCAGGAGGCACAGCTTCTGACATGCCACTGGGCTTTCTCTTTAAGGTCTGCTGGTTTGTTGTTCTTTTAGACATCTTTTCACATCTAGCTTCTGTGGATGTGTCTGAAAATTGAGTCATTAATGATGGTTTATTGAGGCCAAAGGATGCCTGGTTTCACAGCCACATGCTTGCATGCACATGCACTCACCCAGCCTTTGGTTGTTTCATCTCCATACGTGAATTTTGAGAAACATTTTCTGCACTTGGATTTTGTTGGTTATATCCCTCTGTAGCTGTAAGGATCATTAGAGGTCTCCTTTCATCTTGCCAAATCAGTACTGACAGTGAATCTTTTAAGTAAAATTCCACTGCCAGGGATTTAGTCAGCAGTATCATAGGATCGTTTGCTAACAGTACCAAAAAGGCATTTTTCTGGCCTGAGAATTTGTAGAGGAAGTTCCAGCCCTATTGAAATCTGTGGGACTTCAACAATTCACTGTAATGAAGTTGAAGTGTCCTTTCATGTCCTTAGTATTGCTGTCCCTACGAACTGTTAGGGTATTCAGACAGAAGAGCTTAATGAAGCTGCAGGGAAATCCTCTCCTTGGCTGGTAAGAGCCACAGAGATTCCTGGTTCACAGGGTTCCTTCACTTCAGAATCAGTGAGCAGGAGAAACGCTCCTTGAGGCTAGATGAACTTTATGTGCTTCCTGCTATCGTTTGCATACTTCAGACTAGTTAGTCCCATAGCACTCCATAAATATGCCATTCCTTCTGATCCAAGGTCACTGGTCAAGATTTTCAGCAAACAGTGAGAATGACATTAAGGTTAGAGTGACCAGAATTGTGCAGTTTTGGTGCAGACCTGCTCATCTGTTGTTCATCTTTTGTTTTTTGTCACGCTTCCTTGAGTCAAACATAAATAAGAAGCAGCAGAATGCACGACTGCCATCTGGTTCTCGATGCTGTATTGGTTCATTATTGCAGTGACCACGGAACTGTCTGTGCTTTGAGAAAACTAGGATAGTGCCTCTCTTCATGAGGATGAGCTGTTTAGTTAAATGGTCTGTTCAGGACAGTGTGCTAACCCCACAATGTTCTAATGATCACCTCTTTGACAGAGAGATGTTTTTGGCATTCCTATCTGCCAGTGAATGGGAGTTCTTTCCAGGACAAACAGGAGCTGTGGTTCCCATTATTCACTTCTTTTGTCTTGTACTGAAACTGGTGCTGTACCTCTCCCTCTAATTTCCAGGGATGTTTCCATCAATCACAGTATCCAGCAGACAGCATAAGGAAGGGTCTGAAGTGACCCTTACTTTGGAGACCCTTACCTTGGAGATTCTTCTCCAAGCTTATTGGCAAAATCCTGCCACCCTCTCCTCAGGTCTAGGCATGATAGTGGGAAATGAAGGCAAGTTCCCTGCACGGTAGGAATAATGTAATAGGACTTGTCCAAGAGGCAGCACCTGTGGGATTCTGCAACCTTGGGAAAGGAGGTTTGGTTTCTTTCAGTAGTTTCAGGAAGATTTACTGAAGCTGTACCTGTTTTATAAACTGTGATTAGAAACTTTGATGTGGACATGAACAGCTTGAATGTACATGTCTATGGCCATATATTTCCATAAAGAAAGAAGTGAAAGAGTACATTTTTCTTTTTTCACAGTGTCTCTGTTTTGATCATTTCTGTACATTTGGTATTTCCTTTAGGTTGAAGTTCTGCATGATTTTGAGGCAGCTAACGGTGATGAGCTTAATTTAAAACGGGGGGATATTGCACTAGTAATTCCTTCTGAGACCACAGCTGATCAGGTAACAATAACATGATTAGTTATTTCTTTTGCTAATGTTTCCCTTTGTCTCAGTTTCCTTCTCACTCTTTAGAGTTAATTTGAAATGTTGATTCAAAACGTCTTTACTGTTAGAAAACACCAGCATTCTTATTTTGCCCTTCTACTTGGTTTGATTTGTGACCAAGCAGCACAGTTAACTAAGCTGAAGTCCCAGGTATGTACTGCCAGCAGGATCCAACTTCAGTCCATTTTTCTAGGGCACTTTTATGTTGCTTTGTAGTGAATTTTATACAGGCTTTCATACAGACACAGGCTGAATACAGAAGATGGCTTACAAATCGTGCATCCTGCTATCATGTTGTTGTAACACTGGATCAGAACTGACTGTATTTCCCCACACGTTCAGGGTTTTACATGGAGATCTGGGGAAATATGCATTTGCCCAGAGAGAGCACTGAGACTGCACACCAACAGTTCTGTCCTTCAGCCCAATGGCACAGAGGTGTTCCTGCATGTCCTGTGTGCCTCTTGGGACCTGAGCCTCACACAGCTGTGCTCCTGAGCTGCACCAGCAATCGCTTTGTCTTTGGTGCAAGAACCCAACAGTTCAGTGTCATTTAAGATGCTTTATTTTGTCTTAACAGCGTGTTTCAGGTTAATTTTTAAACGATTTAATTCCACACGTTATGTTGATTTGCAGTCAAGTGAATGAATTTTTTACCTCCTCTGTAAGAGCAGCCCATCTTGTACAATTCGTACGAGCCACTTTGTGGCTGCAGTGGCAGGAAGTGTTGATGAAAAGCATCCCATTGAACTGGGGGCTGGGAGGTTGGGCTCTGGACCTGCAGTGAGGCAGCCAGGTCTCTGCTCCGAATGAAGAGCAGTTCTTCAAACATGCCCAAATGCTGTCAGCATGTTTGGAGAGCCAGAGACTGTTCGTTATCTAAGCTGAACTCTCTCTTAATACAAGAGACAAGTAATTGCTTTGGTTTTTGATTCTTTTTTATTGTTGTTTCTGAATAAAAGATTATTTTATTTTCCTTTTCACTGGGACACTTTGTTATTTTGTAGGGGCAGATTCTCTTATGCTTACTCAAACTGTGCTGTCTCACCTCTTGGGCTGTTCAGCTGAGTTCATTGTCAGTATTTGCAGGATCTACTCTAAGGATATAAAAATAGGCTGTCCTCAGTTATTTTTTCTTATCATGTTTTGTATTAAATCTATATAACCTTCCCTTGGTGAATCCATTGATTGTTTTTCTCTTGTGGTGTGCATCCAAATCCCATTAGCGTTCATTGAAGTGAATCGTGTGCAGTGATGGAGAAAATAAAGCCCCATGTATTCGTGTTGCTGAGATCGTTCTGCTCATATCTTTATTACTCAGTGCATATTTGCCCTTTGTGTTTCACATCACCTAGAACTCAATTTTTCTCTCTTACCAGATAACTTGTTGATTTCAGAGAGTATTTGATCTTGGTTCTTTTTTCTCCTGCAAAATTGATCTAAAACCATCATTCTGAGATAGCTGGTGCTGTCAGCCTGTGCAAAGCCAACTCATCCCAGCCAGTGACTCCAACTTTTATCCGTAATTATTGAGTTGAAGTCATCATCCATTACAACTTCAGTCCTGAGCAGAATCTACTCTGTCCATGGTAGAAAACTTCAGTTCCCCCTTCTCAGGTTTTCCAAAAGGTGAGCTTCAAAAACGTGCTGCCAGTTACTCCATCTCTCTTCATACTTTCTGTAGAATAATAATGAATCAGCATTAGGAATTCCCTGTTAATCATCACTTTACTCTTACTCCTGTTCTTAAAAGGAACAAAGCACAGAGTTAGCCATGTGGTGAGGTGAAAACAGGCTGATCGCTGCAAAAATACTGCATGGGTTTTATTCCAGGTGAAATGGATAGCACTCAGGAGAACCCAGCACTTTCCAACATGAAATCTTCCTTTTGATTGATGGATTTGGATTGCAGCATAGCATGTCAAGATCTGGCTTAGGCTGAAGCTTCCAGGAATTTCTGGAAAAGGTTGTTGAGTATCAACTGACTTTTAGTTTCTAGCAATTATGATGGCAGAGAAAACAAGAACTGTTATTTCTTCTGACTGTCAATACAGGAATGAGAGAAAAGAACTCTCAGAAAAAAATAATCCGATGAAAACATGGATTTTTCCCCTCATCTGTGGCATTCTGTAATGATTCTAGAGCACTGCTGTGCTCTTCCTGTGTCAGTATCCCAATATTGCTGTGAGAACTTTGAAAACATCTCCACGTGCATTTGCACAAATGCAGGTTTGCTGTGACACTGGATGACTCCAGAGGCTGATCATCCAATGTTCAGTTCAGTTGGAGGTTAGGTGGGATATAGGCCATCTAATGTGCTCACAGTCTCACAAAACCATGGCAGAACAGAGAAAACAATCTGTGCAAAATCAGAGTATGCTATGTAACAAGTCACCACTTCTTTTGGCCTTTAAAACTTCTCCGGGCCTGGAGTCTGCAGAAAGGAATGGGAGAGAGCTGACCCTGAAGATGCTCTGTCTTTTCTCTTTCAGGAGGCTGCTTGACAGGCATTAAGGAATCTGAGTGGCTTCAGCACAGAGATGCGAATGGTTATGAAGGACTTTTCCCAGAGAACTTCACACGCCACCTGGAACAGTTCTCACAGGCACACGAATGTGGTTTGAAGCTCAGTCAGTGGGTTCTTCACCTCCTTGAAACACAGGAGCCCCCTTTTTTTGTAGTTCAGGCTGTTAATGGTTTACAGAATGGTTGCTTGTTGAAGCGTATCAAAATGAGCATGAGTGCAAGCAGTTAAGCTAGCCATTTCTGAAGCAGTGTGTGAGAAAAAATCAAATACAAACAGAAATGTCCTCATTTGTTCACATGCACGTGGCAACAGGTTTGTCTGTGCTTTGCCAGAGCTGTGGTGATCTGTGTTTGGTCCTTTCCCATGAAATCCAAAATTAGCCTCCTTGGTAGCAAAACCTGAACTTGTCTGCACTCAGTGCATCGTATTGAGTTGCACTGCAGAAAACTTTAATTAGTAATCCTGTAGTAATGAGGTCAAACTATTACAAGTTTCACGTGTTTAAGAAATATCATTAACTGCTGCAATGTTTTCCAGTGTTACTTGGACGTGTGTCTGCAGGTGCATGTGGGTATGTGTGCATCTCAGCAATGTCATGCAGTGCTTTGGCTGTGCAGTGCCATCAGGGCATGCGTTGCTCTCCCACTGTCTGGCATTACAGACAACAGTTTTGTTCCAAAGCAGAACCAGCTGCTCCATTGCCAAAGCACTGCACAGCATCCGTGTGAGTGAGGTGAGGTTTTCATTCTGAGATGATGAATGGCATCGTTTTCAAAGCTGTTGAACCTTTGAGAAGGCATGGCTCAGTTTCCTCTTCCGGTTGCAGTAGTTACAGTGAGGTAATCTGGAAGGGGAACTGTTATGATGCTCATCTATACTTTTTTATTTAGTTGGCTGAATAAAAAAAAAACACGACAAAGTTAATCTCTGAGAAATAAACATCTTTTCACAATAACATTTATGCAGCGCACCTTACAGATCCTTTTAAATTAAGGTACATAATGTATGCTGTATCAAAAAGTCACCTGTAACTTCTGTTTTGCAGTGCTGTGTCATTAAAAATAAACCTGTGATCCACAGATGTTTCATCTGTGATGCTTTTGAAGTTGTATTACAATGAATTTCATGTGGTTCCTGTGTTCTACTGGGGAACCTAACTTTAATTTCATGCCTC